TGATAGTGGATCTCTTTCGCCTTTCGCAGATCTAAGGCTTTGTTGTATTTTCTTGGTGGGCTTGAAAACTGTTTTTATTTTATACTTCCCTGATATTCTTCCGAATCTGTCTTTAACTCTAAGGATGTACGGTAGAAATGCACGTACCACCGTTTGGGTTTCTTCCCTATTTCGACTTGTGAAAGTCTTTCGTTCGGTTACACTGTATCCATTCTATCTTAAAGCCACTCGAAGATGTTTCTATTCTTCTTGTTGGTGTTTAGGTTCACATATTCTACGGGTAAGTTTCGTCAGGGAACGAAATCTAGAACTTTATTGAAGCTGTTCGGACATAACCTACCAATAAGTAAAAGAAATTCACTAAACGAATATTTGTAGAATCATCTTTACTCGTCTCTAAAGTCACTCAGCCTTGCAAAATTTAAATCTACTATTGAGAAGTTTCTTCTGCAACACTGTTTTTATATCATTGAGAAATATGTTGACGTGGCAGGGTCTTTAACTCGTGAAAGATCTTATTAAATCCTCACTTTATCGATTTTATGATTGTACTTCCAATTGACCTACACTCTTTACTTTAATTTATTTGTGGACAATTCCTCAACTCGTGACTTATACAATATACTTTAGCATGTGAAATAGTCAAATAAAGTGTTCTACTCTACTCTATTTCATCCTTTAGAGGATACTAATTGCTAATAATGGACTGGCATGTTCAATATTCGAAATCTCTAGTTATATCTGCAGACTCTCTTCTAAAGTCAATTCTTTTATTCGACAAAATCGAGGCGAGGGAGGTTTTGGATTTTGCCAAACTTTTTTTTGTTCGATTGAATGACCAGTTGAAGAGGAACAAAAGCCTTTGGGTAATATGTGATAGGATTGGCCGATACTTGCACATAGATATGAACATCCCTGAGAAACTATCTTCATTCGGGTGGCGCAAAAGCCTTATACAATTTATCCTTCAGAAAACTATGGCATAGTGAAACACGTGTTGAAGTTTTGTAAACTGTTCAGTGAAAATCGCACAGTGAAGTGTTCAAAATGATTTGAAGAATGTTTGCTTCTGAATCATGTAAACCCTGGTTATACTATATTTATTGATATCCGTGACATCCCCAGTTGCAAATCAAGAAAAGGTATGTACTTTCTGCATCACTCTATACTTCAACTTCGTTTGGCAACAAGTAAATGAATTTCTGATAGGTTTTTGGATAACATTTGTGTTATCCGAACTAGTTAGCCATGGAAGTTGTTACTACCGCTGGGAATGCCCATTGCAGTTCGAAACCAATCTCTCCTATTTTGAATAAACATCTGAGCTGAGCAATATATATAAGGTCGATAAGCTGAGAAATTTCTAGCCTTTAAAAAATTTGATAATGTCGCATTCACGGGCTCTCAAAGTACCACAAAACAAACGCAAACTGGCAATAAAAAGTGGTCAAATGATTCCTTGTAGCTATTCATCATGAGAAGTCCACTATTTATCGTTTTATTAAAAAGTATTGACCAAATTCTGGAAGACTTGAACATTTTGAGAAGGTGAATACAAAGATCATTTTGATATGACATAATAACTACATACGTGAACTTTCGATTTTTTATTTTTTATGTTGCTACACTCGTCTCGAACATATGCTCACAGTTTCAGCTGTTTAGCATTAGTGAGAAGCATACAAGTTAGAAGTGTTTCGCGAGTTCAGCGATTTTCTGCTATCGAAAAAATTGATCAAAGAATTTGCACTTCGTGTGAAAAATTGAATTGAGTGCTCTGAAAAACTTTAAATGTTGACAGTGACATACGGTGATTGTACTCTGCACAGCACGATAACACCTGATGAAAATGTTGAAAAGTGAAGAAAAGTGTTATGGAGAATCGTCGAATTACTATCAGAGAAGTTGCTGAGGATATCAGCATATCGGTTGGCTCATGCCATGCAATTTTTTCGGAAATTTTGGGCATGAAGCGTGTGGTAGCAAAGTTCGTTCCAAAATTTCTGAATTTTTACCAAAAACCGTCACATGAGCATCGCTCAGGAATTGTTGAATGACGTCAACGGCGATCCAGATTTGCTAAAAAGGGTTAGTACTGGTCACGAATCATGGGTTTATGGTCATGACATCGAAACCAAAGTCCAATCGTCTCAATGGAAGAGCTCAGGAGAGCCAAGAACAAAAAGCAAGCCAAATTCGATCAAATGTCCAGGTTTCGATCACTGTTTATTTTGATTATCGTGACATTGTGTATCATAATTTCTTGCCACGTAGTCGTATGGTTAATGAGGAGTATTATTTCGAAGTTATGTTCCGCTTGCCAGAAGCAGTATGGAGAAAACGTCCGGTATTGTTATTTTCTGGATAAAAACAACACCGTAATCATAGCCACCGTATTCACCAGATTTGATCCCCTGTGACTTGTTCCTGTTTCCAAAATTGGAGAGACTCCTAAAAGGACGGCGTTTTGTGACGATTGAGGTAATGAAAATCGAATCGCTCAGAGAGCTTAAGGATATACCAGAAATTGCATGTCATAACTGTTTCGAGTATTGAGAAAAACGGTGACACAAGAGTATTATTTTTGAGGGGGACTACTTTGAAAATAACAAAATAGAAATTGATGAATAAATGAACATTTGTAGGGAAAATGAAAATTCTCTTCATTTTTTGAACAGACTGTATATTGGAGAGACTTTGACGTATACGTTCATGCAGTGACAAAATTTGGTATACATAAAAATTTATTTTCTGCTATCTTTGCTCCCTACCACATTCATCGCATACTACTAAAAGGAAACTACTTCGGGGTATTCTTCACGTCAACATCGAATCGAATCACCATTTCGTCGGTTCGAAGCCGAATGCAAATAATATGACAGACTAGTGAAATCGAATGAAAGGGTCGCTGGAGACCAAGCAAATGCATTTCAATTTGGAAACGGATCGAAAGTGAACTTTCAATTCTGCGGTCGTTTATTTATTGAGGATTGGTTGTTTTTGGACTCGAAGTGATCTGCATGTTTGAAAAACGATTTTAGACGTGGAAATATGTCGAATGAAAGGAATATATTTTTGGGAATGTGTTAGGAATCACACTTTGAAAGATAAGACCTCGTTAGTCCTTAGCTCGCACAAGTTTCTCAACTTCTGAGAGTTGTCGTTCGTATGGAGGCGACAGCTGATTAAAGGAAAAACAGATTTTGAACAGATTTCTTTTAAACAGATTAATTTTATGAAATTGGGGGCTCTATCTTATAATGTTATACAAATTTGGTGCTGAAGAAGCAATAAGACAAGTGTCTTATGCCGAAACGCCGAATGTCAACCAATGAGGATGATAGTGTTTCATTTGGGTTAAATTTTATACCTTCCAATTATTATATTATATAGCAATCCTGTGAATGATATCTTATTCAATTCCATAACAAATTTTTGGAATACAAACTGAATAGATGAAAGTGATTTTCATATAATTCAGTGTTTAAATGGAAATATTTTTTTCGAAAGTATTTTTATTTCGTTTAATTGATATGAAAGTAACAGTTTCGAGAGGGCTTTTTTCAGTTTGTATCTGAAAGTTACTTCTTTGTATGATCTACATATCTTTGTATGGAGTTTATTTTTTGAAATTGATTGCTTTTTTCCTTTCTTTGAAAGATTCCTACATTTTTTTTGTATGAAGATGGAGAAGTATACAGCCGAAACCTTTCTTTTCCTGGAGTTAGGTTGTTTCAAAAGTTTGGTCCGTTTCAATGACATGTGTATCAGTAGCTCCATATCTCAATGAATATTCATTCTACTGTGTCATGTTGTATAGTAATTTTGTACTCTATACATTGATGATGTTCGTTCCTTTTCCAAAATGTTTGCCTCTTTTCAAGCTCCCATTTCCTCCAGCAAGGCTCCTAGGAGCCCTGGAGGATATCCCGGGGAGGTTCCAGGACATCCTTGACGAGTTTCCGCAGGCGATTAGGTAAAAGAAAGCCCAGAGCCAGAGAAGACCAGAAAAAGATAGTTCTACCTATCCCCCAAGACTCACTAGATCATGAACCAACCAACGAGCTACCTGCAACCGTACCCAGGCAAGTTCACCAAGGATAACCCAACCCATACACCAAAACAGCAATGCCCAAGTAACCAGCGCGGTTTCACGGACGTGAATGGAACGCTGGCTAACTCTATGATATTAGACACATATATTAAAGAAAGGCGAGGTGCTAGAAAAGGGTACTGTGTTGTGTCACAAGACATACAGAAGGCGTTCGACACGGTAAGCCACCATTCCGTAGTTAGGGTACTTGAAAGACTGGGAATTGGTCCTAGAACGGTGCAATACATCGTCAGTCTTCTAGCCTCCTCATCAACGACCATAAAGTCTGGTGGGGAACATGCTAGGGAATTACGTGTCCGTAGGAGGGTTAAGCAGGGGGATCCGCTCAACCCCTTTCTTTTCAATGTGATTCTAGATGAGCTCTTGGATACATTAAACAACAGGGAGCATGGCAGCGCCCTCATTCCCGAGGATGTGAGAGTGTCTGCCATAGCCTTTGCCGACATCCGACACTAGCCATGGTAACGGACTTCTTTACTAGGCGTGGGATGAAGATAAATGCCCGGAATTCATCTATCGTAACCGGGCTGGTAGTTGGGGGCTCAGTAACATGCCAGACGAAATCTGACCTGAGCATCGGGGGTCAATTGATCCCCGCGGCGACCGAAATTTTTAGGACACCAAGTCCTAGATACTTAAAGGCTGCTCCTCTCAAGCCGAATCAGAAGCTGAGAGTCCTAAAGGAGTTCGTCATTCCTAGGCTTGTGTACAGGGAGGATATTGTGGGCTGCGGACCGCCTGCTTAAGAACTGTGTGAAAACTTGCCTCCAGTCATAATGAGGTGGCTGAGAAGATATCCGATCATTGTAGGCACAAGAATTGGGGCAGCACGTTGTACAAACCCGATGTGGCAGTCCACAGGAAGACGTCCGCCATTGTGACAGAAATGGGGGTCAACTGGGAAGGCAAGTTATCGTTAGATGCCACCTACGCCGTCAAGAAGGCCGTATACGACCACCCCAAGTTTCTAGAAGCTGCCAGGAAAAGGTGGCCTGACAAGGAGATAGTCATACTCCCACGCGAGGTGTGGCCGCGTTCAAACAACACAGTTGGAGAATTGCTCCAGTTTTCAAGGGGCCTGAAGTCCAGTTGTGTGCACTTGGTGCTGAAGTTCGCGAGTGCTTGTGCGGTCTGCGAATTCCCCATGGATGACCGTCCCCCCACGTATTCAGCTAACATAAACACCAAACAGAAAGAAACTAGATTGAGCTGCACACAAAAACAATTTTTTTTTTAACTAACACCGCCCCTGAAAAGGCAGTAGCCTACAGCAGGGCCCAAGAAAAATTAACCAGATATTTGACAATGATAATATTAATGAACGCTCTTTTCGACGTTGGTTGGCAAATTTTCGTTTTGGAGATTCGTTCCGGAGATTTTAGCCTCGAAGATGAGCCCCGAAGTGGTCGACCGACAGTAACCCAGGGCAAGTATTTGGGGCCCCGGTGGAGACTGACACTGGTGAAAGAACTGGGCGTCAGCTCCCATGCGTTTGGGAAAGGTCAAAAATCTCGAAAAGTGGGTGCCCCACGATTTGAACGAACATCAGAAATTGTCACGTTTCAAGTTCTGTTCTTCTTCGCTTTTACGCAATCAGAACGATACTTTTCTAGATCTAATCGTCAACGTGTGATGAAAAGTGGATCATCTATGACAGCGGGAGACGTTCAGGACAGTGGTTAAACACCGATGAGTCACTCAGACACTTTCCGAAGAAGAAAACCCACCAAAAAAGACCATGGTTACTATATGGTGGTCGGCGACTGTGATTTATAAAAATCTGCAACCAGGCCAAACCATCACTGCGGAGTTCTATTGTGGGGAAATCGATGAAATGTACCAAAAACTATATCAGCAGCAGCCGGCACCTGGTCAATAGAAGAGGTCTGATCCTGCTCCACGACAACGCTCGTCCACACGTTTCACAAATCACCTTCTGAAAATTAAACGAATTCCCAGATTTTACAGACCTCTAGCCAATCGACTACCATCTTATCAAGCACTTCGATAACTTTCTCATCGGGACAACCTGTGCCAATAAGCATTTGTCGATTTCACATCAAATTTCGAGCACACACTTTTTATGCTGATGAAATTATTAGACTCGTATCACGTTGGCAAAAGTGCACTGATTAAAATTGCGTTTGTTTTGTTAGAATTGAATTCGTATTCACTGTGATATACAGTACAGAACAGAGCAGAACAGACAAAACTTTTGAAGTATCCTAATATATAGAATTCATCACAAATTAATAATGAATTCAGTTTCGTTAGTGTATTTATTCATTCTCTACAGTCATTTAGACACCAGAACAGCGTTGTTTCGACCAACTAGGTCTCATCAGAGGTGCTAGCCTGAACCCCTCAATTGTTCTAGACAAGCCTGACAATGAAAATGAATAGATGACTAAGATGTCATCTATGGGATCGACACAAGAGACTTTATTCTTGAATATCACTACATAGTATAAACCAAAGTCGCTTTCCGCTGTCTGTCCCTATCTAAGCTAAGATTCTCAAAGTTACGCAATGGATTTTGATGCAGGTTTTTTCAATAGCCAGCCAGCAAATGCTGACTGAACTCTACGGGATAGATCGAAATAATGCAGTACATTATTATACACTTCGACAAGATTGCAACAAAAAAGTTTATGATGGTATATATCTATTTCTCAGGGATAACCCACAATTACCATTTATTATCCTGGAGAAATAATGGCTCAATTACGAAGCAATTTTGAGCAAGACGGTATCAATCCTTATCCGTTGAGTACCTAGAATACATTGTTTATTCAATATGGTCCTTCCCAGCATGTATTCACATATTCAAAATGCAGGGACATAACAGGTTGAAGGCCGCGCTTCGCCCTATAACACTTTATGATTAGCAGCGATGAATATTTTTCGAATAGTTTTACCATCAACGCTGGTGTTCCCCAGAAATCCATATTGTCTCCAACCTTTATTTTACTGTATACCAACAACTTTTTGACAAAAACGAAGAATCCAATATATTGCTTTGCTGACGACAGCACATTTGTCTCGCTATTTCATTTGGATTCCAGGACATCGGCTGTGGATGTACATCTTCACCGGCAGCAGGAGGTTGCAAATCTCAATTAGGATCTCAAGTGATTCCGAATTGGGATGAAACTAATCAGGTTCAATTCAAGGCCACAAAAACCCAGGCATCGGTTTTCTCCAAAAAGATAAATATCTTTGAACCGCATATAATAGTGTCAAGACAAACAATTTCGCTTTCTGCTTCGAGAAGTTCGTTGAGTGTTGAAAAGGCTGCTCCTCAAAAGCTTGAAACACTGTTCCTAACCAGAAAACTGTACACACCTCAGCAATTTCTGATGCTTTATAAAACTCAAATCAGACCATCTTTGGAGTATTAGTCTCATGTATGGAGCTCCGACCCTAAGCATACCCTAAAGCTGCTGGATTCCATCCAGAAAAGAGCCACCCGCTTGATTGGAGACGTGAAAATCACAACCTTGATAGTCTGGAACTCCGAAGAAAAGTTGGTGATTTGTCTCCGTTCTATAGATACTTTTACGGGAAGTGTTCAAGTGACTTCACTGTTTAAGAACTCTTTCATTTGGAGAACTGCGTTTATGTGGAATAAACATCTCGAGAACATTTTTCTAAATGAATTTAATCTCCTTTTTAGGAAATTTGAATGGTTCATCCCAGAACCACTGATGAACTCTTGGTGGATCAAAACAGCGGTGTCTGTTATAATTTTAATTTGTCACATTATAAGTAACTGCATGAAAACTTGTAAAAAATATTTTTATCATAAAAAACTTACTTCTAAAGAGATCACTTTCGAAAATGTCTCCATTATAATCGTAATTGGTTTAATATAGATGATTATCCATGTATTTTCTGTAAACATTTTACATAGAAAGAAAATATAATCGATTTGAAACAATAATTCTCTTCATATGCCCATGAATAATATATTTGAAATGGGTATTATTCTTGGCAAAATGCATATTTGTTGATATAAGAATAACATATTATACAGGCCATTGCAATTCGACATTTTGTTCAGTAGATTTCATCATCAACTTCTTTTAAATTATGAATCTCTGGTTTTTTCATCGATTTCTGTAGCCACTATAAAAACAAATTCAGTTATATATTACATATCATATATTAGGTTAGGTCAGGTTAGATCCAAAGTGAGTGAGTCTATTCGACCCTCCACCGCAACCCGCAAGAGTTTATTGTGGCTATTTACCTAGTCACACTCTACCCAGCTTCTTAACGAAGCTGATTAGTTTGTACGGTGAGTGATCTTTTAGGTCAGATGGTGAGAGTTCGGCTCTGCCAAACTCTGAAAACCTGATTCGGTACTCTGCCATTTCACCATTTTCCAATTATATATTACAACAAATCCTTATCTGAAAAAAAGTTGATGATGAAATCTAATGAACGAAACGTTGCATTACAATGCTGCAATATTATAAATATGAAGCAGTATTTAAAGTTTCTCTGTCTTTTTTTCTATCATTCGAAATGGAGGCGGTAGAGCCCAAAAACGAATTTCAACACTTCTGGTTTTGGTGAATTTTTAAAAAACAACCATTGATTTTCTTGATCTGAAGAGAGATTATTTCAGTTCCCCAGAGCAGAAAAGTTTTGTGTAAAATAACCGATCTTGTTGGTCTTACCGTTTTCGAGATAGCAATAGTGGGAAATACTTTTACTCTCACCTGAATTGATTCAACTGCAATTGTTAACAAATAGTTGCCACGGATGATCCAATTCATACAGTAATTGTTTGCATTATTTTCCCAATCCAAAATGCATAAATAATACACAATCATTGAAAAGTTATGAATATTTATCAGTTATTCAATGCTCACTCAAACGTGATCTATAAATATTAGTTCATTTGGAAAATAGTTCAACCACGTTGTCAATACCAAAGAAAATCCATCAAATATTAATTGTTTCAATATTTGAATTGGAAATTGTTACTTTCAACCCTGGATTCATTTGACGGATCACGTGATTTCAACTGGACTGGTAATAATTTGCACCTAAATTTCATACCTTTGAATTATTTATGCATAACAGCCTGGAACGTAACAGCATAAAAAGAACCATTATTTATTTTAAGATATAACCACATTCCATGGAAACGTTGATATATTTCATGTACATTTTTATAGTATACTAGTCGTTACCCGCGGCTTCGCCCGTGTAAAATTTGGTTTGTCACATTAAGTTTCGTGATGACCATTTCATCAACCCAAAACATCAGGTTTTCATTTTCAAAACTGACTAAATTCAATACAATCTTCAACCCCTATTTTTCCCCTTTGGGGGTGGATATTCCTGATTTAATTTCTTGACGTTCATTTACGCAATACAAAGAACCTACCTGCATATTCAAGATTCTAGGTTCAATATTTTCAGCTGTACGTTAATTTAAGAGCGGGTAATTTATATTTTCACTTTAAAATACAGTAACTAAAAAAATATGCCAATTGCACTAAGTAATGAATAGCTTCGAGAATCGAATTATGTTACCTATATAGAAATTCGNAGTAAATGATCATGTACTTGGGGTTGTCCCAGAAGCCAAAAGCCTGGGCATCATTTTAGATAAGGACTTGACATTCGAAAGCCAGGTTAATCAGTTTATTCGGCGTGCATATTATTCACTCAAAATTATATATGGACACCGAAATTTCCTACCCATGAAGGTGAAGGCGAATTTGTGCGAATCATTAGTTTTATCTATATTCAATTATGCTGATGTTTTGTATGGTCCATGTTTAACTAACCAATTCAAGGAAAAGATACAAAAAGTTCAGAATTCCTGCCTACGGTTAATTTTTGGTATAAGAAGAAGAGAAAGAATATCACATAAACTGAAGGATACCGGCTGGTTAAATATGAACGACAGGAGAGTGTTACATGCTGCAACTTTGTTTCACAAAATAATTAATAGTGAAGTGCCGTCTTACTTACACTAGAAAATCACTTTTAGAACTGATGTGC